AGCGGTGTTTGGTGAGAAATGAGCCACAAGGAGATGTTCTTAAAGGATATTGTTCTTGATATTCATACCGGTAAGGTGAAGATAATATGTGGCTCATGGGTTCAGCCTAAGACCGATAAGACGCAGAAGAAGCGAGTCTTCTTTACAGCTAAGGTCAGTGTCACGTTTTTTTTTTTTTTTTTTTTTTTTTTTTCTGATTCCCTGTCCCTATGATTAAGTTGACTATCTACTACATTGTTTATACCATGGTTTTAAAACCCGGACCAACCCGACCGGCTTAACCAGTTGGATCGAGACCGAAGGCCTTCTTCGGTCGAGTTACCCTTTCAACTGTTTCAAGTTTAAAATCAAGCAAACATACTTGTGATTAATACACAATAGTCCTTGAAGGTTTCAAATCTAACAAACACACCCTTTGGCCAAATGCAAATCGGCGGTGACATCCCCTTTTTTGGCGACCTTTAACCTTCCTTTGCTATTGGAAACCACCTTCTGACTTTCTCTAGGGCCATGACGCATCATCTTCGACCGCCGCGTGATGTTTTGTTGTCCAATGATTTTTCTTTCATTTCTCAATGTCGACCAGCCTTCACTGTCATCAATAGACCTTCTCAGCCACCGATCTACCTTCTCCCAAGCTCCCTTGCTGTTGTTCATAAAAATCCATAGTCATCTCGCCAAAAAAAGCCACAGCAACCGTTTGACTTCCACCACCGATCTACCATTTCCCGGCGATGCCTCAACTTGCCAACTGCCGATTCGTCCTACCCATCACCCGATCTACCCTCCCAGGTATGTGGCTACTGCTTTCCCAATCGATCACTGATTTGCATTTAGCCAAGGGTTGTGTTTGCTAGATTTCAATGTGTTTGCTATATTTTAAACCTATCAAACTGTTGGTTAAACCGGTTAACCTGTGACTCGATCGCCTGAATGGGTCACCCCGGGTCGGGTTTTAAAACCTTGGTTTATCCTTTATACCTATGTTTTTTTCTTTGTTATTTTGTTTATATTTTATTTGCATATAACATCAGAAAGCTTGCAGGGCATATGGTCAATCAGCTGAAGTAAAAAATAAAGGGAGAAAGATCTCATTGCTCCATGATTTTGCTTTAAAGTTGAGATGATCATAATTAACGAATTAAACCAACAATGGTTTTTTTTTTTCCTTTTTTCTTTCATAAATTTCTTGGAAAAAAGAAATTTTTAAGGATAATTTTAAGGTTTACCTTAAATTAAGAAGGATAAAAGTTTTTTTTTCATAAATTTCTTGGAAAAAAAACTAAAGTATAATTTTTCCACATGAATCCTTACCATTATCTGCCTTACTTTATCTTCCAAAATTTAGAAAATACATTACAAATAATTAAGTACTAGCATATGATGAGTTGTTGTTGTAATACTAACCATTTGATAAAAATCTAATAAATATATATAACTAGAATATTTATATTGTACTTATATAATAAATCATGATGATATTCACATGTATAGAAGAAAGACTTTCCAACAGATAATAATAACATGAAATACTTTTATTCAATCCTACAACAATCACATTACAAGAGAGACAGATATTTACCTAGATACTCATAATATTATTATTAATAATTTATTTTTTCTTTTGGCAAATTTTTAACTTTCTGAATCAAATTATATCCTCAACAGTGGTCCATGATCGGCCATTTATGAAAATTCGTCATACATATTACAATAGTGGTCCTTGATTACTGAACAAAATATATTTGGTCTCCATGAAGATAAGGTATTCACCCGAATTTAATTAATTCGATTTCATCATCGACTTATTGAGCTCTTGGTTTTGTGAGATCAGTCATACTTGCCATTGAACACACCAAATGGACTAATGAGGCTGAGAGCCGAAGAGCTTGTCAATCTGCAAGGCACTGGACAAGGAGAGCGCAAGAACACTGAGAGAATTTACGACTATGATGTGTACAATGATCTTGGAAACCCTGATAAGAGTGATGATTTGGCTCGACTGGTGCTCGGCGGGAAACAGCACCCTTACCCCCGACGCTGCAGAACAGGCGGCCTCGGTGTGACAAAGGTAAGGAGCTAGCATTGGCATCATGAAGTCATTTCTTCTTTTAAGGTAAAATTAGGGTTTTAATGATAGATAGTCATTTTTTAGGTGATAGTGAAAGCTTAAAATCAGAATATTGGAGCAGTAATTAATCCTTACGGTAATATTTTTATTTTTAAAATCGAGACCATTTTCTTAATGTAGGAAGTTCACTGAAAGACAAAGTTAAAGAGGAATTTCTTGTGTGAAGACTCTAAGATTTTTTATATTCCTGTGGATTTTAATGATTTTAATTTAGATTAAAAACAAAAAACAAAAAGATATATATNTATATAAGATGTCCATAGAAAAGAATGACTGCATGTATATTGATAATATAAACCATCACAAACACATGGGGGAAATCATAAAATGAAGAAGCTAGTGAACGTTATATTTATTTCTGTAGAGATTGATGGCGGATCTATGAGCAAGAAGCTGATTATGTGCCACCAAATATGGCTCAGTTGCGAAATCTCCACCGGTGCAGTTCATCCCTTGCCACTCTGAACACCATGCAGGTGTCAACAAGCCAGAGGCGTAGTCACCGAAACTGTAACTCCATGGCTTGTTCAATGTTATCCAATGTTTCACTCGGTCGCCAAATTCCTTGAAGCAAACCTCTACATAGTCTCGAAAATCATTCCTGAAAAATATTTTTTTCTTCAATGTCCAAAGATCAAATGAAGTTATATTAAAATTGTAAAATGGAAAGCAATTCCTGAAAGAACTTACACAATGCGAGAGCTTAAAAAGCCACCATATTCATCTTCCAAAGCTTGGGGAGTATCCTAGTGGAAAAGGGTTATAAATGGTTGTATGCCTGCACTGCGTATCAAAGAAACACGTATAATTTATATATAAATGTAACTATTTATATAGTTTTTTCTTATATGAAACTGATAATAATATTACGATTAATTTGGTTGGTCCCTGACCATTGGATATAAGCTCGCTGATTAGATTGTTGTAGTATCTGATTCCTTCCTTGTTCACTCCTCCACTCAGTTTCCCATCTAATTAGGTATTGAAATAAAAATAAATAAATAAAGAGAAGAGGAAATTATTATTAGTAAAGAAATTAATTAACTTGAAAAAAATTTCCTCTAAATTGTAGCTAACTAATTGTGAGTTGCTACATCGAGGTTGTGAGAAAAAGTTGTGGGTATAACATTTGTTGGAGTCCCACATCAACTATACATGCTCAAGTCTATTGGGTTATAAGAGGGGGTAATCCTCCCATTCAACAAGGCCTTAATGGGTGAGGAGTCAGACCCACCTCAAATTCTATCATAGTATCAGAGCACAAGTTCAGTTGAGCTGAGTATTTGACTAGCAGGTAAGGAGTTTGAGCCAGCAATTACCTCCATTAATAGACATAACCCAACATATGGGCTTAATCGTGAGAGAGAGTGTTGGAATCCCACATCGACTAGGCACGCTCAAGCCTATTGGGTTATAAGAGGGGGTAATCCTCCCATTCAACAAGGTCTTATTGGGTAAGGAGTCAGACCCACCTCAAATTCTATCAGCATTACTCTATGTAAAAATATACGAGGCTCACTAATCAAATTAAGGGTTTTAAAATTAGCATCAGATATAGGATTAATGCAATTTTAGTAAACATGTTGTGATGAATGAGCTGCTTCAGGAGCATTGAATTAGTAGCAGACTGTTATTGTGATGAATGAGCTGCTTCCAGAGTATTGTGATTAATGCAGTTTTACTGAACATGTTGTGATGAATTAGCTGCTTCAAGAGCATTGTGATTAATGTAGTTGTACTGGACATGTTGTGTTGGTTCTTTTTTTTTTTTTTTTTTTTTTCCATCGATTGGCAGGATCTTTTTGTTTATCATTCTCATTTGTTTGATCTTTTTTTTTGGTGATATTCACCTTGACTCTGCTGATGTTGAAGCTGTTATTGAAGCTAGTACTCCCTTGACTCTGCTTAATGTTGAAGCTACAAAGAGATGGTTATTATTATTATTATTATTATTGATGTTAAATTCGAGCAGAAGTGTTGGCAAAAGAAGCTGCTAAAAGTTGTCAATTCTCCCAGTTCCAGCTTGAGGGAAGATGTTAGTAAAGGAGTGAAAGTGCCTATATCTCCTCTCAGGTTTAGCTTGAGGGAAGATGTTAGTAAAGAAGGGAAATGTTTAACTCTCCTCCGTTAATCAGTTGTTATTTTCTGTTAATATTCAATTAGCATTAATGGTTAGTTAGACTCATGTAAAGACTATAAAAGTGTACAATGTAACTAAACAAAAATCAAGAAATGTAATACACCAAATCTCCAGAAATTTCTCTTTTTCGTATTCTCTCTCAACTTTTCTTCTGTTTTTCTTCTTGCTTTATCAAAGTCTCACAAGAAACGGCTGTTATGAGTTGGATTTAGAGAGAAAAGTTTGCATTGTGGCAACAACATTTAATGAAGACTTGAAAGAGTGGATATAATTCTCACTCAATTACTCAAATTAGCTCTAAACTTTTAATAAAGTAAAAAATAGAGTGGGTCACGTGAAGCCTTTCAAATATGCATTCATCAATTACAATCACATTGATTCATTAAAATATTTAAAAAAAAATTAAAAAATGATGGGGTGACACAAGTAAATACTACAATAATGTCAAATATTATCACTTTAATACAAAGTTTAAATTTACTTTGTAAATTTATCATTATTCTTGTTCACTGGACAAGATGCATGGACATTTCATGACCTATCTATTTAGTCCTCATTCATTTAATATCACATAATTTCACTACTGCCGCTTGAAACTCATGCTCTCTCCCTCTCTCTCAATCCCAATTTCTATATAAACACTCCAAGCCTCAACAAAATTTCCCACAAACCAAAATCAAACCCTCTCCATTTCTCTCGAATATCTCTCTTAATTAATCCCCAGGCCAAATGTTGAAACATCAACTTCACCAATCTCAATCTTCCAAACCCCTCTTCTCATTGGCCAACAAGCCATTTCTCCATGGAAATGGCGCCTCCGCCAATGCTTTTCTTCCACTTCATTCACGACCTTCCCTCAAGAAATCTCCGAAAATCCGTATTGGGTTCGTCCCCTCCAACATCAAAGCCTCAGTAGTCGATTTAACCGAACGAAAAACCACCGCTGTTAAGGCTGTTGTCACTGTGATTCCAACCGTCAGTAGTTTGCTTTCTAGCATTTCTATTGACAGCAGTTTGGATACTTCACAAGATGCCCTCGGAAAATCTCTCCCCTTGGAGCTCGTTAGCGCCAGGCTCGACCCCAGTAAGTTTCAAACACAGTCGTATGGATACTGTGTTTTAAGTTTTTGACAGTTTCTGAACTGTTGTTTATATTTTCTAATTAAATGGTTTGAGACGCGTGTTAGCATAAAAGTAACTAAAAATTTAAGTCAAATATCAATATTTATCTTTTATTTTTACTATTTCTTCTTCTGTAGCTAATACTTCACTAATATGCTCCAAGAATCAATATTTATGACTAATTTGCTCCAAGGTTTATCTTGAAATAGGATAGTCAGTTTTTTCTTTAACCTCTCCGTATTTTTGGTCTCTCTTCTTTAGATACTCTTTAACTCCTTACTTGCTTAAAAAGAAAAAAAAGAATCAATACTACAAACTAGTTTTCAACGCGTCAAGATACTGTAATTTAAATGTTTGATACAGTTTTTGAACTGCTCATCTTTTTTAATATTTTAATGGCGTTGAAAGTGGTTGACTTACATAAAAAGTAACTAAAAGTTAAGATCTCAACCTTTAAAGTCGATGATAGATACTTTAACCGTTTGAAATGAGTTTTTCTTAATATAACAAACTGTAGCTCTTCGAGCACACGTTAAGACGTTTAACTGGTGGATCAGAGACTGGATTGGAGAAGCCACCATTAGGGTTTGCACACAAAGGAAGGAGGTGAAACGAGAGGCACATACGAGGCTGAGTTCAAGATTCCGACGGATTCCGAGAAGTTGAGCGGTGTTTGTGGAGAATGACACCACAAGGAGATGTTCTTAAGGATATTGTTCTTGATGGATTCGATACCGGTAAGGTGAAGTAATATGTGGCTCATGGGTTCAGCCTAAGACCGATAAGACGCAGAAGAAGCGAGTCTTCTTACAGCTAAGGTCAGTGTCACGTTTTTTTTTTTTTTTTTTTTTTTTTATTTCTGATTCCCATGTCCTATGATTAAGTTGACTATCTACTACATTGTTTATACCATGGTTTTAAAACCCGGACCAACCCACCGGCTTAACCAGTTGGATCGAGACCGAAGGCTTCTCGGTCAGTTACCCTTTCAACTGTTTCAAGTTTAAAATCAAGCAACATACTTGTATTAATACACAATAGTCCTTGAAGGTTTCAAATCTAACAAACACACCCTTTGGCCAATCAAATCGGTGACATCCCCTTTTTTGGCGACCTTTAACCTTCCTTTGCTATTGGAAACCCCCTTCTGACTTTCTCTAGGGCCATGACGCATCACTTCGACCGCCGGTGATGTTTTGTTGTCCAATGATTTTTCTTTCATTTCTCAATGTCGACCAGCCTTCACTGTCATCAATAGACCTTCTCAGCCACCGATCTACCTTCTCCCAGCTCCCTTGCTGTTTTTCATAAAAATCCATAGTCATCTCGCCAAAAAAAGCCACAGCAACCGTTGTGACTTCCACCACCGATCTACCATTTCCCGGCGATGCCTCAACTTGCCAACTGCCATTCGTCCTACCCATCACCCGATCTACCCTCCCAGGTATGTGGCTACTGCTTCCCCAATCGATCACTGATTTGCATTTAGCCAAGGGTTGTGTTTGCTAGATTTCATTTGTTTGCTATATTTTAAACCTATCAAACTGTTGGTTAAACCGGTTAACGTGACTCGATCGCCTGAATGGGTCACCCCGGGTCGGGTTTTAAAACCTTGGTTTATCCTTTTACCTATGTTTTTTTCTTGTTATTTTGTTTATATTTTATTTGCATATACATCAAAAGCTTGCAGGCATATGGTCAATCAGCGGAAGTAAAAATAAAGGGAGAAAGATCTCACACTGCAGGGACCATTGGTTGGTGTTTTTTTGTACACAAGGTTGTGTTGTCTCTTCTGCCCTCGACATGGCCCAACTCGTCATGTTTTGGCTTTTTGTTTTGTTTGTGTTTTGGTGGGTTGTTTTTGCTTTTGGTGTGTTTGGATTGTCTCGAAGGCAGCACAAGTCTTGTGGGTGTTGTGTGTTGGTTCGGCGATAGACTTGTAGGTGGGTGGGTGGGGTGTGGGGGGTGGTTGGGGGGGTGGGGGGGGGGTTTGTTTTTGTGTTTGCTTGGTGTGATAATTTTTGCTTGTGTTTTGTTTGTTTGTGCTCCAATATTCAACACTCTCGATTTGCTATCCATGATTTGTTTTACAGTTGAGATGATCATAAGTAACGAAATTAAAACACACATGGTTTTTTTTGTTTTCCTTTTTTCTTCATAAATTTCTTGAAAAAGAAATTTGTAAGGATAATTTTAAGTTTACCTAAATTAGAAGATAAAAGTTTTTTTTCATAAATTTCTTGGAAAAAACACTAAAGTTAATTTTTCCACATGAATCCTTTACCATTATCTGCTTACTTTATCTTCAAAATTAGAAAATACATTACAAATAATAAGTACTAAGATAGGATGAGTTGTTGTTGTAATACTAACCATTTGATAAAATCTAATAAATATATATAACTAGAATATTTATATTGTACTTATATAATAAATCATGATGATATTCACATGTATAGAAGAAAGACTTTCCAACAGATAATAATAACATGAAATACTTTTATTCAATCCTACAACAATCACATTACAAGAGAGACAGATATTTACCTAGATACTCATAATATTATTATTAATAATTTATTTTTTCTTTTGGCAAATTTTTAACTTTCTGAATCAAATTATATCCTCAACAGTGGTCCATGATCGGCCATTTATGAAAATTAGTCATACATATTACAGTAGTGGTCCTTGATTACTGAACAAAATATATTTGGTCTCCATGAATATAAGCTTTTCAGTACCCGAATTTAATTAATTCGATTTCATCATCGACTTATTGAGCTCTTGGTTTTGTGAGATCAGTCATACTTGCCATCAAACACACCGAATGGACTAACAAGGCTGAGAGCCGAAGAGCTTGTCAATCTGCAAGGCACCGGACAAGGAGAGCGCAAGAACACCGAGAGAATTTACGACTATGATGTGTACAATGATCTTGGAAACGCCGACAAGAGCAATGATTTGGCTCGGCCGGTGCTCGGCGGGAAACAACACCCTTACCCTCGACGTTGCAGAACAGGGAGGCCTCAGTGTGACAAAGGTAAGGAGCTAGCATTGGCATCTTGAAGTCATTTCTTCTTTTAACGTAAAATTAGGGTTTTAATGATAGATAGTCATTTTTGAGGGGATAGTGAAAGCTTAAAATCAAAATATTGGAGCATTAATTAATCCTTACGTTAATATTCTTATTTTTAAAATCAAGACCAGTTTCTTAATTTAGGAAGTTCACTGAAAGACCAAGTTAAAGAGGAATTTCTTGTGTGAAGACTCTAAGATTTTTTGTATTCCAGTGGATTTTAATTCACATTAAAAAAAAAAAACGATATATATATATATATATATATCGAGTAGTGAGATAGATTGATTTCCCAAAAGACAAAATAATGCCTATCCATCACTGACTGGTAGCAAACATGGAGAGTCTCTTGACATGTGAAGAGCATAAATAATTGTACACACAATTATTGAATCAATTAGGGTTCCAAAAATAGATGAACTTATTTGCATTCACTAGCAACAGTAATTTTTAAATAAACGTCTTAATTTTTTTTAGTTTTTATGTATGAAGTGATGTGACATTTGTTTAGTAGTATATGACATGGATCACATAATCACCTAAATAATTCATTTATGCTTTCAAATTAATTAGGTATAAAATGTGAGATATAGATTTTTTTTCTTTTTTTTATCATCGGAAGTGTTCGGGTCAGTTTGTGTGCATCTAAACTAATCTTTCAAGACCTTAGAACTGTTGGTTGAGTAAGAGTCTGAGTGGCTACCCTATTAATGTCTAGAGAGACTGGAACTCAAGAGCTCATGAAACTCATTTTGCACACGATATGTCTTCCTCTTAGAGCACACGATAAGACTTTTCTCTTTATCTTATTATCTATTATGCAATTAATGACTAATTATAATTATTTTTTATGACTTTGCAGATCCATATTCTGAGAAATTAGCCACCAACACAATCTACGTACCCAGAGATGAGGCCTTCTCAGACATAAAAGAGCTAACATTTTCAGCCAAAACTCTCTACTGCGCCCTGCATGCTTTAATCCCGACGATCCAAACTTCGATCGTCGACTCCGATCTAGCGTTTCCATACTTCACAACCATAGACTCCCTCTTCAACGAAGGAATCAACTTTCCCCCACTCACTAAACAAGGATTCTGGAAAACACTCATCCCCAGATTGGTGAAGGGCATTGAGGATAGCAGTGAAGATGTGCTGCGTATCGAGACTCCTGAAGCCATGGCCAGTGAGAAATTTGCTCATTCTCTTTTTCTTAAAAGGCATTCAAAAATCTCAAGTTCTCATGCATATTTTTTGTGTTTTTTGTTTTTGATTGGCAGGAGATAGATTTTTTTGGTTTAGGGATGAGGAGTTTGCTCGGCAAACTCTTGCTGGTCTCAACCCATTATGCATAAAATTGGTCACGGTATGTTATATATCTGTATACAAAATTACGTCTAAACTTCTATTTATTTACCCAAGTAAATATTAAAAGTATAATTTTATTGTTTTTATGAAAAATTTGATTGAATTTTTGTTTTTTAATGTTCACTAATATTAGTAAAGTGTTCACTACTAATACTATTTAATGAAATTGGTATTAAGTGATCGAGTGATCAACTAGAAGCCATCATTGAGTGATAGAGTGATCAACTATAACTATTGGATGTATTATTTAAGAGGTCTTAAGTTCAATTCACGTTTATCCTTAATAGAGGTGATCGCTAGAGTTCTTATTTGGTTTGTAATTTTAGAGTCTCAAACGATTAGTTGAGGTATACGCTAACTGGTCCGACACCCCGATCATTAAAAAAAAAAAAAATTATTAACTATCAATTAAATCTTTATATTTATTTAGATAAAACTTAGATCATAAGAAAATGTGAAAGAATAAACTTAAGGTTATTAATAAGCATGTTTAAAATCATGCTAACAGAACAGAGAATTAAGCTTCAAAATTTGCTTTAAAAATTGTGCAGGAATGGCCATTGAAAAGCACGCTCGACCCTGCAGTTTATGGTCCACCAGAATCAAAAATCACCACAGAGATCCTCGAGAACGAAATCAAAGGCTTCATGACTGTCTATGAGGTACAACAAACAAACAAAACTCCATAAATTTCCATTTCTTCTACATGAAAAATTACACAAGATTAATTAACCCCATTAATTAAAACTAATTGTTGTTAATTAATTTTTCCACAGGCCATCAAACAAAAGAAGCTGTTCATTGTAGATTACCAGGACTTGATGCTACCCTATGTTCAGAAAGTGAGAACGTTAAAGAACACAACGCTTTATGGATCTCGCACGGTGTTTTTCCTAACCCCAGATGGCACGTTGAGGCCTCTGGCCATCGAGCTCATTCGACCTCCGATGGACGGCAAACCCCAGTGGAAAGAAGTGTACACTCCCAGTTGGAACTCCACAGATTGCTGGCTATGGAGATTGGCTAAAGCTCAAGTCCTCGCCATTGATGCTGGCTATCACCAGCTTATTAGCCATTGGTACGTGCCATCTCCCTCGATTTTCCCCTTGAAACTTTGTTAAAAAGATCAAATTTTACTGAAATCAAGGTATAACGAGACGGGTTCGATAAGTAGTCGGTGAATAAGTGATTGTCTGCAGAGTCGTTTAATAAGTAGTCGGTAAGTAAATTGTGCTCGATTCAATCAATCATTTGATAACCAGAGTCGTTTTGTAACGACATTAACTTCTGTTTGCAGGTTAAGAACTCATTGTTGCACAGAACCTTATATAATTGCCACCAACCGGCAACTCAGTGTGATGCACCCAATCTATAGACTATTGCACCCACATTTCCGGTACACAATGGAGATCAATGCCCTAGCTCGAGAAAAGCTAATCAATGCTGATGGGATCATCGAAAGCACTTTCTCACCTGGCAAGTTCTCCATGGAGCTCAGCTCTGCTGTATACGACGCGGTGTGGCGTTTTGACCAGGAGGCACTGCCTCAAGACTTAATCAACAGGTAAACTTTTTTGCATCGAAAACTGTAAGATTTTGTTGTTTAATGTTCATTAGTCTGCGTCGAATATTTCCCTAATTTTTTTTATCCACTTGTGGCTAACCAGGGGGATGGCTGTTGAAGATCCCAATTTTCCTCATGGCCTAAAGCTCACAATTGAAGATTACCCTACGCCAATGATGGACTTGTTCTCTGGGACGCATTGAAACAATGGGTGACCGATTATGTAAACCACTATTACCCTGATCCAAAACTTGTCACCTCCGATCAAGAGCTCCAAGCATGGTGGAAAGAGATCAAAAACGTCGGACATGGAGATAAAAAGGATGCGCCATGGTGGCCTGAGCTCAAAACCCCGAAAGATTTAATCGAAATAGTCACAACCATCGCATGGGTGGCCTCCGGTCACCACGCAGCCGTAAACTTCGGGCAGTACCCATACGGAGGCTATTTCCCAAACAGGCCAACCATTGCAAGAATCAACATGCCCACAGAGGACAACTCCGAAGAGGGCTGGAAATTCTTATTGGAGAAGCCGGAAGTTGTGCTTTTGAGATGCTTTCCGTCACAGGTTCAAGCGGCGACGGTGATGACGGTGCTGGATGTGCTCTCGAATCACTCTCCGGACGAGGAGTATTTGGGGCAGCTGGCGGAGCCCGCGTGGGAGGAGGATCCGCTCGTGAAAAGTGCTTTTGAGAGGTTTAATGGGAAGTTGAAGGAGTTTGAGGGAGTTGTGGATGCAAGGAATGCGAATAAGGAGTTGAAGAACAGAAATGGAGCTGGGATTACGCCGTATGAGTTGTTGAAGCCGTTTTCCGATTCTGGTGTCACCGGAAAAGGAGTTCCTTATAGCATTTCCATCTAGGGTTGAGATCTAATAACAATGAGAAACTAAGAGGAATAATAAATGTGTGCATGAGAATGCATGAAAATGTTTCACCGAGAAAATTCTCTTTCCTTTCATTGTAATAAATTACGATGCCCATTCTAGATTTTCAAGAAACATTAAGATATTTTGTAAAATAATAATAATAAAGTAAATAATTTGAAATTAGAAAAAATGTAAAAAATTAGGAAGAGCTCTAGAATACGTAGGTCGGTTGAAACCACCAACTTTACACACTATAAACCGGTTGTCTTGCTCTTGTATCAACAAAGCTAACAATAATATTAAAAAAACTTCCATTATAAAATCCCATTAAGTTTTCTACTATAGCCTCTAACCTATAGCCCACTTTCTCCACTTCACTCTTCTCTTCATAAAAAATCAACTCTACTATTTTAAACCCCTTAAACACTCAAAACAAGCACCAATATCCTTTGTGTTTTCTATACAAATAATTGTCGGTGATATTAGAGCTGTGTTCGGTCATTTATCGGGCATAGTAAAATTATGGCTGAAACTAGTTGTTCTACTGTTTCGCTTCCGTTATTTAACGGAGAAAATTATGATTTTTGGTCCATAAAAGTGAGGACCTATTTTCGCTCCTAAAATTTGTGGAAAGTAGTTGAAGAACGACTAACTGTCCCTGAAGACACTTCCACTCTCACAGCTGTTGAAAAGAAAATGCTTGATGAGAGGTTACAAAAAGACTCCCAACCGTTATTTGCTCTTCAGCAGGCAGTGTCGGCAGAAATTTTTCCACGAATCATGGGTGCTACAATTGCCAAAGAAGCATGGGATAAGTTGCAAGAGGAGTTTCAATGATCTAAAAAGGTATGTACCGTTAAACTTCAATCTTTTAGAAAAGATTTTGAAAATCTTAAAATGGAAGATAATGAGATTGCTAAAGATTATTATTCAAGAATAAAAGAATTAGTAAATCAAATGGGAGCCTATGGAGGAAATATAACTAATAAGAAAATAGTACAAAAAATACTAATAACTTGCACTGAAAAATATGATTCGGTAATTTCTGCTATTGAAGAATCTAGAGATTTAGAAAAATTAACTCCCACTGAACTAATGGGCTCTCTTGAAGCACATGAAAAAAGATTAAATATGGAAAATGAAAATATTGCAGAAAATGCGTTTCCATCTAAAACAAATATGCAGTCTCAAAAATTAAAAGAAAGTGGGAGAAAAACAATTGCAAACTTTAAAAATCAAAATCAAGATAAACATTTTGAAAATAAAAGAAATTTTCCTCCATGTGGAATTTGCAATAGAAAAAGTCACTTGGAAAAAGATTGTTGGTTTAAAGAAAAACCACAATATAGAAACCGTGAAAAATCACGGCATGTTGAAAAAGAGTGCCAATTGAAAAGAAATCATCAAGCAAATTTTTCAGAAGAAAATTATCTTTTCCATGTCTCCCAAACTGTAACTAAAGAAGAAAATAATATATGGCTTTTAGATAGTAGCTACGGTAATCATATGACAAAAAATGAAACTATTTTATGTAACATTAATAGGAAAAGGCACCATTGCTGCTGATACAAAAAAGGGCAAGAGGTACATTAGTGAAGTACTTTTGGTTCCAAACATAACTCAAAATCTATTAAGTATTGGTCAAATGATCGAAAAAGGTTACTCCTTGCATTTTGAGGGAAATTCTTGCACTATATATGACAAAAAGGATAAACCCCTCATAATTGCAATAGTCAAAATGCAAGAGAATAGGTGTTTCCCTATCCAATGGACATATGCAATTGACACAGCTATGAAGGCCCAAGTGGACAAATTGTGGTCGTGGCATAGAAAGTTCGGGCACTTCAACTTCCACGGGCTGAAGATCCTCCAACGAAAGAAAATGATGCGAGATCTACCAACAATAAAGGAGATGGATGACACATGCGAAGAATGCATGCTCGGTAAACAACACCAACAACCCTTCCCGTCTGGAAAAGCATGGAAAGCCAAGAAGCCATTGGAGCTAGCCCATATAGACGTTTGTGGTCCAATGCACACTCATCAAGATCTTGAACTTTGTGGGAGACGATCTTTTAGAAAGAAGGTTTTTGGTGCACACCAAAGGCGTACACACCAAGGTAGGATCTTTTCGAAAGTTGTCATTTTGATATGGTTTTTTACATGGTGGTGGAGAAAATGCAAGGAACCTAACCCAAAAAAAGGAAGCAATTGGCATGAGCCCTTTTTTTTAATTATTTTTTTAAGACTAAAATTTTGAAAAATCGTAAAAAATCACATACTATGCATTTTGTGTTGGGGTTTGTTTTGTTGTGCTCCTAAAATCCTCATTTGAATTATGGTGTATACATTTGGCTGGGAGATCTTGAACTTTGTAGGAGACGATCTTTTGGAAAGAAGGTTTTTGGTGCACACTAGTGGACGATCTATTCGACAGTTGTCCTGTTGATCTGGTTTTTTGCATGGTGGTGGAGAAAAATGGAAGGAGCCTAACCCCCCAAAAAAGAAGCAATTGGCACGAGTTTTTTTATATTTTAAAGATTTTTTGAAGATTAAAACTTTGGAAAATCGTAAAAAAATCACATACTATGCATTTTGGGTCGAGATTTGTTTTGTTGTGTTCTTAAAATCTCCATTTGAATTGTGGTGTACATATTTGGTTGGGAGATCTTGAACTTTGTGGGGGACAATATTTTGAAAAAAAGGTTTTTGGTGCACACAAGGGGACAATCTTTTCAAAAGTTATCTTTTTGATGTAGTTTTTTGTATGGTTGTAGATAAAAATGCAAGGAACCTAACCCAAAAAAAATGAAGCAATTGGCGCGAGCCCTTTTTTAATGATTTTTTGAAGATTAAAACCTTAGAAAATCGTAAAAAAATCACATACTATACATTTTGGTCGAGGTTTGTTTTGTTGTGCTCTTGAAATTCTCATTTGAATTGGGGTATATACATTTGGTCGGGAGATCTTGGACTTTGTGGGGGACGATCATTTGGAAAGAAGGTTTTTGGTGCACACCAAGAGACGACCTTTTCGAAAGTTGTCATTTTGATCTGGTTTTTTACATGGTGGTGGAGAAAAATGCAAGGAACCTAACCCAAAAAAAAAAAAGGAAGCAATTGGCATGAGCCTTTTTTTTTTTTTTTTTAATGATTTTTTTAAGGTAAAAAATTTGGAAAATTGTAAAAAATCACATACTATATATTTTGGGTCGGGGTTTGTTTTGTTATACTCTTAACATCCCCATTTGAATTGTGGTATATACATTTGGTCAGGAGATCTTGAACTATGTGAGGGACAATCTTTTGGAAAGAAGGTTTTTGGTGCACCCCAACAGACGATTTTTTCGAAAGTTGTCCCTTTAATCTAGTTTTTTGCATGGCAGTGGTGAAAAATGCAAGGAACCTAACCCAATAGAAAGGAAGCAATTGGCACGAGCCTTTTTTTTTTTTAATGACTTTTTGAAGATTAAAATTTTGAAAAATCATAAAATATCACATACTATGCATTTTGGGTCAGGGTTTGTTTTGTTATGCTCCTAAAATCCCTATTTGAATTATGGTGTATACATTTGGTTGGGAGATCTTGAACTTTTGGGGGACGATCTTTTGGAAAGAACGTTTTTGGTGCATACCAAGGGACGATCTTTTCGAAAGTTGTCATTTTTATCTGGTTTTTTGCATAGTGGTAGAGAAAAATGAACGAAACCTGACCCAAAAAAAGGCAAGCAATTGGCACGAGCCTTTTTTTTAATGATTTTTCTATAATTAAAACTTTGAAAAATAGTAAAAAATTACATACTATGCATTTTGGGTCGAGGTTTGCTTTGTGGTGCTCCTATAATCGCTATTTGAATTATGGTGTATAAATTTTGGTCGGGAGATCTTAAACTTTGTGGGGGACAATCTTTTGGAAAGAAGGTTTTTGATGCACACCAAGGGACAATTTTTTCAAAAGTTGTCATTTTGATCTAGTTTTTTGCATGGTGGTGAAGAAAAATGCAAGGAACCTAACCCAATAGAAATGAACCAATTGGCACGAGCCTTTTTTTTAATGATTTCTTGAAGACTAAGACTTTAGAAAATTGTAAAAAATCACATACTATGCATTTTTTATCGGGGTTTATTTTTTAGTGCTCCTAAAATACCCATTTGAATTGTGGTGTATACGTTTGGTTTGGAGATCTTGAACTTTGTGGGGAACGATCTTTTGGAAAGAAGGTTTTTAGTGCACACCAAGGCGTGCACATGAAGAGACGATCTTTTCAAAAGTTGTCCTCTGATCTGGTTTTTTCATGGTGGTAGAGAAAAATGCAAGGAACCAAACCCAAGAAAAAGGAATCAATTTGCACAATGATTTTTTGAAGATTAAAACTTTGGAAAACGTAAAAAATTACGTACTATGCATTTTGGGTCAGGGTTTGTTTTGTTGTGCTCCTAAAATCCCTATTTGAATTGTGGTGTATACATTTTGGTCGGGAGATCTTGATCTTTGTGGGGGACGATGTTTTGGAACAAATGGTTTTTGATGCACACCAAGGGCGTGCAAACTAAGGGACGATTATTGTTTCAAAAGTTGTCATTTTGGTCTGGTTTTTTGCATGGTGGTGGAGAAAAATGCAAGGAAGGTAAACCCGAAAAAAAGAAGCAATTGGCACGAGCCCTTTTTTTAATGATTTTTTGAAGATTAAAACTTTAAAAAATCGTAAAAAATCACATACTATGCATTTTGGGTCGGGGTTTATTTTGTTGTGCTCCTAAAATTCCCATTTGAATTGTGGTGTATACATTTAGTCGGGGGATCTTGAACTTTGTGGGGGACGATCTTTTGGAAAGAAGGTTTTTGGTACACATCAATGGCGTGCACACCGAGGGACAATCGTTTCGAAAGTTGTCCTTTTGATATGGTTTTATCATGGTGGTCAAGGAAAATGCAAGAAACCTTACCCAAAAAAAAGGAAGCAATTGGCACAAGCCCTTTTTTTAAATGATTTTTTGAAGATTAAAACTTTGGAAAATCTAAAAAAATCACATACTATGCATTTTGGGTCAGGGTTTTTTTTTTTTTGGCTGTGCTCCTAAAATCC